CTCAAAGCAATGAGTCTCAACAGGGGACTGGGGTTAAGGAAGCGATCAGAATCTTGGACAGTACTATATTTAGGGAAGAAAACTTTTTATTGGTTTTCTGATGTAGACTTAAAAAAGTATACCTGGGCAAAAAAAAAAAAATCTTGGCTGGTAGAGAATGGGTATCAACTGCATCTCAGTGATTGTAGGGTTGGACGGATGAGGATCAGATCTCATCAGAATGCCGTGTGTGTGGGAGGGTTGTTGTAAGATTTTTATGTTTAGCAGAGGGAGGTGTGTTTTTTTTTTAAGTTTAAGAAATAATAGGACCCTCCACCTTGAATCTGCATGCAAAATGTTGTGCAAATGTGTATTTTTCTTTACCTCTTCTAAGGGATCCAGACTCAAAAAGGACTAAGAACTAGTGGTATAGACAAGCGAAGAGGAGAGGCGGAAGAACTAGCTCAAGGAATGCCACAGAACCCAGCGGGAAGAAGTGGAGTCAAAGAAAGCAGAACACAGGGCTGGCTGTCAGTAGCATTGTGAGGTACTTAAGGGGGTTAGATACAGTGAATCATGGCAGTTACATTCTAATGATTATACTAGTTAATGGCAGTTTTACAAAAACAAGTGCTTTTGTATTTGTTATAAGATCTGCACAAAAGGAGTTGTTGTCAGTTCACCCTACATATTGATTATTCTTGTTAAGTGAAGTAATTACTGGGTCCGAACCCAATGCAGCCGGTGGGGAAGGGGTCTAATTTGAAATCGTCTGGGAGCTAGCACAGACACAGGACTGAATGCCTGAGCTATGACCGTGGGAACAGAGAAGCTACTGAAGCTCACTGGAGATTATGATCTGTTTAACAAGACTGAGCGCGCACAGAGAACCAGAGTACCAATTGAAACAAAACTGGGTGTCCAGGATATGGAAACATTCAGGATGATACAAATGTCAGGCAGGAACAAATGCCAGGGGCCAGGATCTTCAGAAAATTCAGAAATAAAAGACAGCAAAGAACCTGCCATCGTGAAAAGCCAGGTACTAAGAACAGTCCATCGAGTAGCACCAAGAAAACATTTTGTACAGAATTTCATGTAGAAATTTAAGTATATTCCTCTACTACAAACTGGCCTGGGTGAGGATCTAAGTGTGGTCGTGCCTGACAGTCCTCAAGGGCCTGAGGGAGTCTGGAGGGGGCGTCTTTGGTTATCACAGGGCTAGCAGCAGGGCTGTGCTGCTGGCACCAGAATCAGGTATGGAAGGCATCCTGCGGTGTCCTACAGGAAGTTGCACAAAGCGCCCAGTTCTTTCGGAAAAGGTCACTATAGAGAGGGTGTCTGGATCTTATAAGATAACATACTCTGCACCATGTCTGTGTGATACATTCCGGTCCTCCACAAACAATGGAACCAGTTACAAATATAACAGCACGCTGGAGATTCATTTTAACAGATTTAGAAAAAAACACTAAATTGACAGCGGTGCATGAAATTTAGAGATCTTACTGGGTTTCATTAACAAAGGCTGTTTTCAAACGACTTAATACCTCATCCTATATACTTACAGTTTTTTTGGCACAATGAGAAATGTTATGAATTCCTCATTTTGGGCTGCTGCGAATCTCGAGAGCTGTACCCCATGCCTCCTCTACAGCCTGCTATATACCTTCTTTTCCAACCCATCCTTTACCATCACCTGGTATTAACAGATAGGGCCTCCAAGGTTTGTGTGTGTGTGTGTGTGTGTAAGTATTAGAGACTGAATTTATACCTCATTTGGTGCAATTTTAAGGTAGAAAATACGTTTTCTGTGATACTTTATCATCAGCTGTACCCTATTTCACAGCATAAGAGGAAATTGTTTAAAAAGAAAAAGCCCGGTTCATCTGAGAGAATATCATATGCCACTTTTGTACCCAAATTTCTCACATCTGTAAACGTCCACATTTTATATTAGTGTATGAATTGTCTTTTCAGGCTTCCCCCTTCTACTAAAGGTTTTTCCGTCTTTTGCTTATCATAAACACAGTAGTCTAGCCTGTTATAACTTATTTTAATACAGCTTTTAAAAAGATTTTATTTATATTTTGAGAGAGAGGGGAAGGGAGGGAGACAGAGAGGAAGACAAATATCCATCATTGTGCAAGAGAAACATTGATCGGTGGCCTCTCACACACCCCCACGGGGGAACTGGCTGAAACCCAGGCATGTGCCCTTAGGAGGAATCCAGCTGGTGACCTTTCGGCTGAGCTCGCAGGCCAGCACTCTATCCACCGAGTCATACCAGCCAGGGAATTAATGTGGTTTTTTAAAACATAGTATCTACCTGTATTTCTCCTCATTTATAGTCCCACACTTTTTGTACTGTGTAACTTACATTCATTATTAGTATCTTATCTACAAAGGGGAAAAAGGAAAAAAATGATGGAGTTGAGAACTTCTGAGTAGGGAAAGATTTGGGGTCAGAGGGGGAATGCAGTTAAGACGTGACAGTGGATGTGTAAAAGGACAATCAATGGAAACTGGGAGCATGAGTTTCTACTAGAAGTGGCTGCCCCAGCGACAGGACCCTCATGGCAATGGGCTGCCCAGAAAACAAGAGTGAGGGGCCGAGGGCTGACGACAGGCACAGTGAACCCGGTCGTATCAGTCCTCTGCTAACAGTCCTTCAAAGGCTTCCCACCCTTAACAGGACCTCCAGGAGCCTCTACTATCTGGCACTGCCTGTTCCTCCAGCCTCTTCTTGTAGCACTTTCCCCTTGGCTTTCAAAGTCCTGCCACCCTGGCCAACTTCTTCCATCTTCACGGCTTCTGCATATTCCATTTCTTTCACGTGTCATCCTCTACTGCCCACCTCCACCCTTTCCTTCTGCTTAAAAATCACTTCCTCAGAGAAGCTTTTCCTGACCAGTCAGAACACTCTATCACTACAGTTCCTTGAGATATGCTTTACTTGTCTCTCATTTACTTGTATGAATACCCTTTTCTTGCATGGATATAGCTCCATGGAGGCTGCTCTGTTGACTGATCATTTCCCAGCACCTAGCCCAGTGCCTAGAACCAGCAGGAACATTCGCTCACTCATTCAATAAATGGATAAGGTTTTTGTTCCATTTTTAACTACATCTCCATTTTCTCATCTGTTCATGGGGACAGTGATAATAACTACCAACCACAGAACTGCCATGCAGATTAAGAGACAATGCATGCTGAGCATGGTGCCTGGCATGTAGTAAGGGCTATGAAATGTTAGTTGTTATTATGATCATTAAACATAAGCTCTGTGAGCAACCAGAACTCTCATGCATTGCTGGCAGCAATGCAAAAAACGATACAGCCACATGGGGAAATGTTTACCAATTTCTTATAAAATTACACACAGACTCATCATACAACCCAGCAATCCCACTTCTAGGTATTTACCCAAGTGAAATGAAAACTTATGTACACAAAAACCTGCACATGAGAGTTTATAGCAGCTTTATTCATCATTGCTCAAAACTGGAAACAACCCTAATATCCTTCAACCAGGGAATGAATAAGCAAATTGTGGTATATCCATATAATGGAATGCCACTCAGCAAGAAGAAATGAATGACTGATCCATGCAATAGCATGGATGAAACACAAATGCATTATGCTAAGTGAAAAAAACCAGACTGAAAAGGTGACCTATGTATGTTTCCATTTACATGACATTCTGGAAAAGTCAAACTGTTGGGACAGAAATCAGGCCAGTGGTTGCCAGGGGGTGCAGTGAGGCATGAGGAAATTGGGTGGGGGGGGGAAGATGGAACTGTCCTGGGACTTGATAGTGATGGTGGCTACATAGCTATCAAAAATCACATCATTATAAACTAAATGGGTGAACTGTACTTATGTAAATTATTTCTTAATGTAAAAAATGAAAACAATCCAAGACAAGTGGACATTGTTACCTTTTCCTTTTTTTAGAGGGGAAGGGAAGGAGAGAGGGAGAGAAATATCAATGTGTGGTTGCCTCCCATGCATCCCCTGCTGGGAACTGGCCTGCAACCCAGGCATGTGCCCTGACTAGGAATCGAACTGCGGTTGTTTGGTTCCCAAGCCTGCACTCAATCCCCTAAGCTACACCAGCCAGGGCTAACCTTTTCCTTTTTTAAAAAAAAAAAAAAAAAAAAAAAAGGAATCCTGATTATAAAAGTACTTACAGGCTCATTGTAGACATTCTGGGAAAATGTGCAAAGAACAGACATCCCATCACCTGTAGGAGAGTACTATTTCTTTGCTTTCATTTTTATAGGCACAGAATACACAGACACATAAACTGGGACCATGCTATACATTTTGCTTTCTGAAATATTTTATGCACGTTTTTCAACATCATTAAAGAATTTTTAAAAGCTATAATTTTATGAATCAATAATATTGTATTTTATTGCTGATCTATATTTTAAGCCTTCCTTTATTGTTAGAAATTTTGATGCTTCTATCTTTTCTTTACTATAATTTTTTGACAAAATAAAAAAAATTTAAAGGCTCAGAGGGGCCAGGGACTCTTCCATCATGGAGTTTCACGTTTAACTGGCAAAACAGCTCTACCTTGGGCTGCAATTTTCTCGTTGTTTTAAGTGTCTGGAAAAAAGTGGTTCCACAGGGTGATCTGGTGTCTTCTTCTCTGTGGTGCATAAGAGACACCCTAATATTACCTGTATTACGAGCTTAAATTTGCATAGTGCTTTTTATATCTAACTCTCATCATATCATTGCAGGGGAAGCAGGTGGAGTAATTTGTTCAAGATTACTTACACTGCTTATCAGTTGTGGAATAGGACTTAAACTCCAGGTATTCAGAGTCTCAGAAAGTAAACATTCAGTTTACTCAGAAAGTAAACATTTCCCCAGCCGGATCTCCCCCTCCCCACTCCTACCCCAAGGAGGAAGCTGCGGACACCCCTAGAAATCTCTGCCTAGAGGCTTGACACAAGGGGAACTGAACTCCGAAAGTGGACGCTGTTTCATCCTACATTTGTCTTTGGCAACATCGCCACTTACCAGCTGGGATCATTTCTTCCCCAATGGCAGGGAGACACCTACTGCCACTCACCAAGGGGGCCCTGGGAGCTGAAGGATCGCCGGCTTCGCGGCCGGGCCCGTAAGGGTTGCTGTCAGTCTGTCGCAACGGTGCTGGGGCTCCCTCTCACTGGGGAGTCCTGCAGGGACCGCCAGGCCCTCCCCAGTGTCGTGGCCCTTCGGCGAGGTGATGAGGCCCCCCCTCCCATCTTAAGGAGAGCTGAGGGGTCAGGTAGAGGACGCCGACTACAGGGCTGTCCCGGAAGACTCCAGGGACCTGACATAATAGCCTCCGGGCAGGCAGAGGTCAGTCCTCCGCTATCCCAGAGTGCCCCGGATCCCGGAAGTGCCTAGCTTCCGGAAGCTCCCGGCAAGCTGACAGAGCTCAGGTTTGCTTGAGCACTGCAGCCGGAGAGTTGCTCTTCTGCGGCTTGGGTGACTTCAGGAGGCCCGACTCCGGGTTGGGGTGTGCATCCGGAGGGAGCTGCGCGGCGGGATGATGGAGGAGGAGGAACTGGAGTTCGTGGAGGAGCTGGAAGCCGTGCTGCAGCTCACGCCCGACGTGCAGCTCGCCATAGAGCAGGTGAGCGTTCCGCCCCCTGGGGGGAGGAGAGCGCGGAGGACGGGGCAGCTCTGGGGGTGGGACCGGGGTGGTGCGGGGCCGAAGCGGTCTTTGGTCAGGGGCTTGGCAGCTAGGCACTGAAGGGAAAGGAAATGTGTGTGGGGAAGTGGTGGGGGGAAGGGGTTTCTGAATCGAGGGAAGGGAGAGAGCCTTTACTAGGCCTTGATTGTCTTTGGAGGGTGGGGCATCCTGGTGCGTTTGGGCGTAGAAGCTGTGCTACCCGAAAGGATGAACCTGGAAGGTGGGACCTCATGGGTTGCAACCTCAGATTTGCGGGGGACAGGTTTAGAGCTGTTCATTTATTTACCAGGCTAGTGTGCCGCTGCTCGCGATTCTCATTCTAGCTCCTTGTGCATGACTCCGAATTGAGGGGAAGGCGTAACTTTAATTTCCAAAGCGGATCGCAGAGCCGAGGAGAGAAAAGGTTGGATGAGGACCCCTTTACCACACTTAGATGGTTGAGAATGTCTGCTGTTGATTAGTTTAGGTTAAGTTGAAGAATATTCCCAAGAGGCTGCCTTTCCCTGCAGGGACTCTTTGGTTGACTAAATTCTCTTTTCCAGTTTATTGAGTTTTTTTAAAGAGTAATGATATTAGAAATAGTAACTTAGACCAGTGATTTTTGCACTGGTGTGCGGCAAGAATTTTTCAAAACATGCAATACCTGACTGTTTGGTCAGGGACATTGATCTCTTTTTCCTTAAAATTTCAAATAAAAAAAAATGACATCAGCCAACACAAAAATAACTGTCTGGTGTGCATGAGTCAAAATTATACCTACTTTTTGTCAGATTGACAAAATATATATTTTTGGTGTGCCGCAGAATTTTAGTAATTGGTTTATGGTGTGCCATGACATGAAAAAGTGGAAAATCGTTGATTTAGACCCTAGTAGAGGGTATTGTGCCTGATAAAGGGAGAAGATCTCTCTTAAAAGAATTGGCAGGGATATAATTTAAGAAAAGGGGGTTATACCACATTCGAAGTGAAGCGTTACTACTGTTACTTAATGTTACTTGTACAATATAGGTACTCATAGTTAATATTTATGGGACATTAACACTTACTGTGGGTCTGCCACTGTACTAAGCCATTTATTCTCATGGTCCCATTTGTAGATTTTTGGATGTGTGCTTTTCTGGGAGTGGTTGGATTTCCCATACAGAGCTCACTTGGCACATCCTGAAGATGCCAGCCCATTGGGCAAAGGTTTTTCTTCTCGGGCAACACTGCTCCCCACTGACCTCCATTTGCCAGAAAAAGCATTTGCTCTTTGGATCTAGTAGGCTCTAGTTGAAGAAACAAATCATACAGTCAGTTATTGGATCTAGTAGGCTCTAGTTGAAGAAACAAATCATACGGTCAGTTACTGTTTGACAAGAATTTTAGAAGAGCACGTTTTTACTATTAAGACTGAGCTCTAGCTCAGGTTTATCTAATAAGCAGAAAAGAATTCGCTAACCAGAATCACAATATTGAGCTGGTGAAATCCACTACCCAGGGTCTCTCTTGACTACTTTTTTTTTTTTTTTTTTTTTAATTAAATTTATTTATTTTTTTGAATTGATTATGCTGTTACAGTTGTTCTATTCCCCCCCTCCATTTCCCTCCACCCTGCCCCCCCAACCCCACCATTACCCCCCTTTAGTTTATGTCCATGTGTCTCAAGTCCTTTAGGTTCTATATTTCCCAAACTATTCTTGCCCCCCCCATCTATTTTCTATCTACTGTCTATGCTACCTGTTTTCTGTACCTTCTCCCCCCCTCTTCTCCTCCCATTCCCCTGTTGCTAACCCTCCTTGAGATCTTCATTTCTGTTTCCACTCCTGCTCTAGCTGTCCTTTTAGTTTGCTTTCGTTTTAGGTGTGGTTGTTAATAACTGTGGGTTTGTTGTCCTTTCACTGTTCATGTTTCTTTATCTTCTTTTTCTTAGATAAGTCCCTTTAACATTTCATATAATAAGGGCTTGGTGATGATGAACTCCTTGAATTTGGTCTTATCTGAGAAGCACCTTATCTGTCCTTCCGTTCTAAATGAAAGTTTTGCTGGGTAGAGCAATCTTGGTTGTAGGTTTTTAGATTTCATGACTTGGAATATTTCTTTCCAGCCCCTTCTTGCCTGTAAGGTCTCTTTTGAGAAATCTGCTGACAGCCTGATGGGGACTCCTTTGTAGGTGACTGTCCCCTTAGCTCTTGCTGCTTCCAGGATTCTTTCCTTCATTTTAATTTTGGCTAATGTAATTATAATATGCCTTGGTGTGTTTCTTCTTGAGTCCAACTTTTTTGGTACTCTCTGGGCTTCTTGGATTTCTTGGAAGTCTATTTCCTTTGCCAGATTGGGGAAATTTTCTTTTATTATTTGTTCAAATAGTTTTTCCACTGGTGGTTGTGTCTTTCCCCCTTCTGGTACCCCTATAATTCGGATATTGGAGCGTTTAAAGATGTCCTGGAGGTTCCTAAGACTTTCCTCATTTCTTTGAATTCTTGCTCCTTGACTCTTTTCTGCTTGTCCATTATTTGCTTTCTTCTGGACCCTTGCATTGATTTGAGTCCCAGTTTCCTTTTCATCTCTATGGGATTCCTGTGGAATTCCATTCATTTCCCTTAATTTAGCCTCCATATGTTTCTCTAATTTGTGGCTGTAATCCACCAAATCTGTGAGAAAGGTGATGACCAGTGTTTTAAACTGTGCATCTGAGAGTTTTGCTATTTCTTCGTCATTTAGATTTATCTCTGGGGCTTTGAGTTCTGCCTGCGACATTTTTGGTCTGTTCTGGCCCTTTAAGTGGGACAAGCGGCGCCTTGGAGTCCCAGGTCGCTGGGTTGTGACGCTGTATGTGGGGGTGTGGTCAGAGCGGGAAATGGCCGCCGCCGCCGCCCGCCGCCGCGCCGCCGCCGGGCTGGTCCAACCGCTTACTCCCTCACTCGCGCGCAGCCAGAGTCAATTCGTTGCCACCGCCTCCCCACTGTGTCGCTCCCCCGGTGGGCTGCTCGGCGGCTCACCAGGTCCAATCCTGGGTTTGGAACCCGCGTAACTGGATTCGCGCGCCGATTCCGCGCCGGTCCGACCGAGCCCTCCTTTGTAAGTCCTCACCGGACACTGGTTTCGCACCTTACCGGTCAGGCTGAAGAATTTGTTGTTAGCGGACTTCCGAAAAGTTCAGTTTTCCGTGTTCTGGTTGTGTTTTGTGATGCTAATATTTAGTTGTCCCTAAACTTGGTTGTGTGAGGAGGCAGGCACATCCAGCTAAACCTCCATCTTCTTGACTACTTTTATAATCCACCTTGTTCAAGTTGCAGTCGAAGGGGGTTAGCTACATTCTTCGGGGGGCAGCATTCCTTTATCTGTTAGAGATAGCTCCTGACCACCAGCTCTTCATTCCCTGACACTGTCGGAAACATAAACATTGCTTCAGTGCATAGTGAATTCTATTGCTGAGACCTCACTGAGACATGGTGCATAGGTTTGTTATCAAGACTTTTAAAAAAAGATTTTATTTATATTTAGAGAAAAGGGAAGGGAGGGAGAGAGACGGAGAGAAACATCAATGTGTGGTTCCCTCTCACGTGGCCCCCACTGGGGACCTGGTCCACAAGCCCTGACTGAACACAACCAGTAACAGCCCACGCTCAATCCACTGAGCTACACCAGCCAGGAAAGAAATAACACGTGAAACAAGACAGGAATATGACAGTTATTTCTAATCTATCTTTATATAGGTGTTTCCGAGCCAAGATCCTCTGGATCGAGCAGATTTCAATGCTGTGGAGTATATCAATACCCTGTTCCCCACAGAGCAAGTGAGTAATTTCGGTGGCTTCTGGCTCTTCATGTGGTTATGATTGGTGTGTTATGCTATATAATCCAAGGGGCCTGGATGAACAAGGAGTGATTCAAACCGAATTTCATTGTAACCATGGGGGGGGGGGTGTGGAGGAGCTAATACCATGTACTGTTAACTGCGTTAGAGTGAAATTCTTTGTGGAGTGAGCATATTATTAGAAATTGTGCCCTTAAATATTTTCCACACAACTGGTTTTTACTGGGCTGAATCTTAAGCCTGTGCCCTCAAAATGTTACACACATATCCTAGCACCAATCTACCAATCTTAAATACATTAGGTTTTAGTACTGTTGGCTATATAAATAAAGAATGAAAATAGCGGTCTTAATATTTTCTTCTCACACCATAACGGGTGTTATTGCAGACCCCTTAGAGATGCACACACCTTCTGCTTGAGGTTGTTAATCCAGGCAGAGGGTGTTTACTGAAGGACTCTTGTCAGGGCGAGGACTGGATCACATCCACATTTTAAAAATTCCATCTGGCGGCAATGTGGAGGGTGAACTGGAGGGAGGCAGAACTGGGGACAGGAAGACCAGTTAGTAGACCAGTTGCAAGATCCCTCAAGAGGGACATTGAGAGCCTGAATGGACACTGGGATGGAGAGAACAAGACCCAGGAGCTGTTGAGGAGGCAGAAGACACAGAATCCTGAGGTCCTGGAACCTAAAATTCTCTCATTTACTCAACATGAATGACCTCCTCTGCTTACCTGTGTAAGAAACCCGCGGCTAGAGGGGTGAACAAGGCAAATACGCCCCTTCCCAGTATAGAGCTTCCAGTCTCCCTTAATGGATAATGATTACACCTTTAACACTTATAAGTAAATTACTGTGACTTTCAATGACTTATATGTATAACTATTAATTATTTGTTACTTGCTCTCAGGGGAGTTTGAACTTCTAGTACAACTATAATAATAGTTTATATATTTTTTAAAATTTTTTATTGATTATGCTGTTACAGTTGTTCTATTCCCCCTTAATAGTTTATATTTATTGGATACTTATTATGCACCAGGCACCGTTGTAAACACTTAACAACAATAAATTCTCCACTTTGTTCACATGCTTGTTTTATGGTAAGAATAATGAGGCACAGAGACAAAGAATGCTCCGCTGAAATGTGACAGCATTGCCATGAAACAAACATGCCGAATCCTGTGAAAGCTGAGCACACAAGGCCTTACTCGGTCTGAGGGATCCAAAGAGGCTTCCACCAGGAAATGACATTGAAGCTGTGCACTATAGGCCAAAGGAAGGACTTTGAACTTTGATTTCTGGTCTGGCAGGCGGAGTGGTTGTTGGCACCTTTCCCTACATTGGGAGTAAGGAGGAAAAACAGGTTTCAGTGGTAAGTAGGCTATGAGTAGGGTGTACAGGTGAGCTCAGTTTGAACATATTTGGGCCATCCAGGTAGAAGGAAGTAGTCGGATAGTATTTGAATCTGAAGCTCATAATCCCCATGGTTGTGACTGTCTTGGTATAGATTCTTTTAAGCTTTTTCTAACGGACGTGTTCATTTTTCAAAATAAAGTGGGAAAGCTTGGCATCCTGCTGTGTGCTTGCCTTTCATGAGATTTCACAGATAGCCTTTAGAGCTCATCCTGTTCTAAGGAACAGGAATTCTGGGAATTAGCTGGACATAGAAATTTGGAAATAACTGATATAAAGATAGTTTTAATCATGAAAATATTTCATTTATTCCTCCTTAATCAAGATTGCTTGCTGACCCACCAAAACAAAAGCAAGTGTTTGATTTGAAAGTTATATGGGAAACCACTAGGCTCTCATACCTTACTGATAGGTTTCTGTGTGCATTTGTCTTTGAACTTCTGAAGGCAGCACAAGACATTTGTTGTTCTGTGGATATAGTTCTATGCCCTGTTTTACTATTGCCCCCACGTGCATGATAATGTGTAGTGGAGTTTCTTACGTGATGCCGAGAGTTTATGACTCAGGGTTACCTTAATTTCCCCAATCCCAGGCTTACACTTAGTAGCTCACCTTCCAACCCAGATTCCCATGGATCTTAAGGAAAGGTAATAGAAAGCAGGGGCATGGTTTATAATTTTTCAGTTATTGCTGTATCTTGGCAAAACCCATCTATGTATCTCATGGACCTGCAGTAAATACTTGTGAATTGTGAATTATGAATTTAGAGTATTTATTTATTTATTTTTAAAGATTTTATTTATTTATCTTTAGAGGGGAAGGGACAGAGAGAGGGAGAGAAACATCAATGTACGGTTGCCTTTCATGCATCCCCTGCTGGGAACTGGCCTGCAGGGAACCAGCCTGCAACCCAGGCATGTGCCCTGACTGGGAATCGAACCACGACTGTCTGGTTCGCAGAAATCCACTGAACTACACCAGCCAGGGCCGAATTTAGAGTATTTAAAGGAGTTGTCAGTATATCAAGAATACATTTAGTGGCCCTCCAAGGAGGAGGGTATGTATGTGTTTCTACTGAGTGGTAACTACTGCACGTGTGTGTGGGGGGGGGGGGGGCGTTGCCTGGAGGCGGGACTGTGGCCCGGAACGGATCCCGGGATGTTTCTGACTGGCCAGGTCCAGGTGTGCGGAACTCTGGTTTCAGGATATAACATGGCTCCCTGGGTGGTTCTGAAGAGTAGCCGGGTTTATTGTCTCCTAGCGGAAAACTGGAGATAATCGTCATGTTTTTATTAAGAGTTTAATTAAGAAAACTAGATAAAATTTTAAAAGTAAACACTAATATAAAGAACTTTGAAAAAAGAGTCGTAGAGAATTTTTATACAGAAATTTTAGTGATCCCCCCAAATGCTCTGTATCTACATTTAAAAAAAAAAAGATGCCAAATTACTTATCATACCAGTTTAAAAAAATTTTTTAAGCCATATAGTATTTGCATAGAAGGAAAAGTAGAAGGTAATATACCAAAATGCTAATGGTTATTATACTCTGCTGGGGATGAGGGTGATTTTATGTATTTCCTGTAACCAACAAGAATTGCCATTAGAATCAGAAAATACTTTTCAATAGTTAAGACATTTTTAAGTGATTGAATTAACACTGAGCAACCACATTACAACAGAACTAGATGAGTGATTCTCACAGAGGAGCTGTATCGCCTCCGCCCAGGGTAGCCAATCTGGATTCCTGTGGGGCGTTTTCCCGGTGAGCATCACTGCCATGATGAGGCACTGAGCCGATAGCAGGGACTGTGTCGTAGTCCTCAGGTGTATTGGGGTGCAGAAAAACTAGGTCAACAGCCCTTGTATTAGAGGTAGCATGGTAGAGTGAAAAAGAGCAGAGACCCAGGAGTCAGGCAGACCTCAACCAAATACAGCATCCATGATCTTGGGTAAAGCATCTGTCCTTTTAGAGTGAAAGAGCTTGCCTAGTGTGTTGGAGAGGATTAAGGGAAATCATTTTTGTAAAATGTCTGGATGAGTATTGCATAACAGAGCCACATTAAATGTTAGCACCTGTTCCCTTTTGCTTCTCCAGTAGAAAATCTGGAATATAACTCTGGCCAGGTAGCTCAGTTCTTAGAGCTTTGTCCTGATATGCTAACGCTGTGGGTTCGATCCCTGGTCAGGGCATATACAAGAAGCAACCAATGAATGGGTAAATAAGTGGAATAACAAATTGATGTTTCTCTCCCTTTTTCTCGGCCACCCCCCTCGCCCCCTAAAAATCAATAGGTAAATTTTAAAAATTTGGAAGATAAAGAGCAAGTGGTCACCATGGGTCCACCAAACATGCAGTCAAGCACTGTAATTTTAGAATATTTTTTCTGGTCTTTTAAATCTTTATTCATGGGATACTTGAAATTTTTAAGTGTTTTCCCTTAACGAGCATGTTATCATGAGCGACATTTGGTATTTCAGAGCCTCCCAACCCAGTGTCTTTGGTCGCGGCAAAAAGGCCATTGAATATATGTGGCCTAATGTATTTAACTTCTCTGTTGATGGCCATTTAGATCATTCCCAGGTGTTTGGTTTTTTAAATGCAGTCGAACACCTGAAGCCATAATATGCTTTGAATTATTCTTTTGAGAAAAAATTGTTATGATGCAAGCAAGACCTTCATGTCTAAGGAGCATTATATTTAAGGAATGGTTACTGTACCACCAAAAATCAATATTTACCAATGTGGAATGACCTTCAAGTTAAATTATCGAGTGGAAAAGCATGGTGCAGGACAATGTGCATTTATATAAAGAAGGGGATATAAGTTGTGGACGTACTTTGAATACGTAGCCGTCTCTGAGGATGTGCAAAGGAAACTGTCCCAGAGCCATTGCCTCTGGGGAGGAGGACTGGGAGGTGGACACACAGGACTGGGGAGAGGAGGCCTTGCTTTTCACTATCTGTGCTTTTCTATTTGAATTTTTGGTCATGCATGAGTTTCACTGGTTTAAAATAGATTATAGGCCTGGCCGGCTAGCTCAGTTGGTTAGAACATTGTCTCCATATGCCAAGGTTGTGGGTTTAATCCCCGGTCAGGGCACATACAAGAATCAACCAATGAATGCATCAGTAAGTGGAACAAGGAAGTGATGTTTCTCTTTCTCTCTTCTCCCTTCCCTCCCTCTCTCTTCCTCCCTCCCTCTCTCTTTTTCTTAAAAATCAATAAGTAAAATAGATTACAATATTTACTTTTGATATAACTTTCCATGTTTAGAAAAGATGCAAGAATAGTACAAAGAATTCATGGCTACCATTCATCCTAATTTCCCAAATATTAACATTTTAAAAATAGTTCTTAAATGCCTAAATTTATTTTTTTTAAAGGAATGGGTTCCAATAGAAATATGCCTGTTTTGTATATGAGGAAACAAAAACTCAGAGAGGTTAGACGGCTTGCCCTCTAGATACACAGCAAGTTTGTTTGTGGTAGAGATTTGCCAAACCCCAGTCCTCTGACAACTCAGGTCCTGTTACCGCAGAGGTGTTTTAAAATGACACATATGGCTCATTAGGATGCCTCAATTAAAATAACTTCTCTTTTCTGAGGTTTAGCTTTACCTCCATCTGTTCTTAGATTTCTGAAAATTCTGAGTAACCTTTGGCTTTGTCAGAACAGTAGATGAGATGTGAGTGGCCCCATCTGACGTCGCAGACACCTGTGACCTGATTTCCTTAGCAGGCCTGCTGTGGGCAGGCTCCTGGGCTTCTGCCAGCGCAGGCTGCTGGCAGCATTTTATAAGCACAGCTCTTACATCAGCCCCAGTTCTTTTTCAGATAATATATCTGTTGGCAGAAGAAAGAGGACTTATAAAATGACATTTTTAAAACTCGAGCGAAAATGGCGCTATAGGACTTCTGGCCAAGATTGAGGCATAGGTGGAAACACTGTGCCTCCCCACACAACCACAATTAAAGACAACAAAGATTTAGAAACAAAAACACAACCAGAACAGACAGAAAACTGGACTGTACAGAAGTTCAGCAACCATTGGACTGGTAAGAGGGGCAGAGTTGGTGGCCAGTGGAGAGGGGTCGTGGCAGGAAAAGGTGGTGGCAGCCAGACCTGGGAGCGCAGGCAGCACGGGGCAGACCATGGTCATACTTTGGCCCACAGATAAACTAGGCAAAAATGGGCAGTGAGACAGACCGAGCAATCTAGGGCCCCAGGGCTGGGAAATAAAGCCTAAAAGCACCCATTGGAAAGAGACTCCCAGCCTCACAGGGAAGTTTATTGGAGAGACCCACAGCATCCTAGAATGTACACAAGCCCACCCACCCAGGAGCCAGCACCAGAAGGGCCCAATTTGCTTGTGGGAAGCAGCAGAAGGGACTGAAACCCAAGAGAGAGTGGAACAAGTGCCATTGTTCCCTCTCTGAACCTGCTTCCACATACAGCCTCACAACCCAGCCACTAGGTTGACCTGCCCTGGTAAACACCTAAGGCTCCGCCCCTCATATGTAACAGGCACGACCTGACCAAAAAGTTATGGCTCAATCAGAACAAATCAAATCCCCAGAGCCAATACTTTTAAGCAACCAAGAGATAGCCAACCTATCAGATGCACAGTTCAAAACACAGGATGCTCACAGAACTGGTTGATTTTAGTCACATAGTAGATGAACAAATGAAGGCTACACTAAGTGAAATGAAGGGAAATGCACAGAGAACCAATAGTGATGGGAAGAAAACTGGGACTCAGATCAATGGTGTGAACCAGAGGGAAGAAAGAAACAACAAAACAGAAAAGAATGAAGAAACAAGAATTCAAAAAAAATGAAAAGAGAGGCTCAGGAACCTCCAGGACATCTTTAAATGTTCCAACATCCGAATTATAGGGGTACCAGAAGGGGGAGAGGAAGAGCAACAAGTGGAAAACTTATTTGAACAAATAATAAAGGACAACTTCCTCAAACTGGCCAAGGAAATAGACTCCCAGGAAGTTCAGGAAGCTCAGAGAGTCCCAAAGAAGTTGGACCCAAGGAGGAACATACTAAGGCACATCATAATTACATTACCCAAGATTAAAATGAAGGAGAGAATTCTAGAAGCAGTAAGAGATAAAGGGACAATCACCTACAAAGGAGTTCCCATCAGACTGTCAGCTGATTTCTCAAAAGAGACCTTAGAGGCAAGAAGGGGCTGGAAGGAAGTATTCCAAGTCATGAAATGCCAGGACCTACATCCAAGATTGCTCTATTCAGCAAAACTTTCATTTAGAATGGAAGGGCAGATAAAGTGCTTCTCAGATAAGGTCAAGTTTAAGGTTCATCATCAGCAAGCCCTTATTATATGAAATGTTAAAGGGACTTACCTAAGAAAAAGAAGATAAAAAATATGAACAGTGAAAGGACAGCAAACAGTTGTTAACAGCCACATCTAAAACAAAAGCAAATTAAGTGGACAGCTAGATCAGGAGCAGAGCCACAGAAATGGAGATCATGTGAAGGGTTAGCAACAGGGGAGTGGGAGGAGAAGTGGGGAGAAGGTACAGAAAATAAGTAGCATAGACAGTGGGGAGAAAATAGACGGGGGGGGGCAAGAGTATGGGAAATATAGAAGCTGAAGAACTTACGGCACATGGACATGAACTAAAGGGGGGGAATGTGAGCGAGAGGAGGTATGTAGGGTGGAGGGGAATGAAGGGAGGGAAAGAGGACAACAGTAATGGCATAATCAATAAAATACATTATAAATTGAAGGAAAAAATGGTACTATAAAATTGTACCATCAATATTCCATTAGGGGGCACCATTTCCTCACTTTTTTGCATGCTGAAGTTGGAAATAGTCCATTTGTTTTTACAGTCCTTGTCTTAAAAACAGAAATAACTTTATTACAATAGCACTGCATGGTCAACATAGAGCAATTAGAAAATATTGAGGCAAAAAGAAGAAAAAAATAAAATTCTTTCTTAAAAATAAAGATTCAATTATTTATTTTTAGAGAAAGAGAAGGAAAGAAACATCAGTGTATGGTTGCCTTGTCTGCTCCCCACTGGGGACCTGGGCCACAACCCAGGCATGTGTGTTGACTGGGAATTGAACTGGCAACCCTCTGGTTTGCAGGCCAGTATTCAATCCACTGAGCCACACCAGCCAGGGCAGATTGTTCTTTTCATAGATTACAACTACTGCTAACTGATTTCATAGATTCCAGCTACTAGTATAGAATACAAGTATTTATCCTTCCAGACTTTTTTCCTAGTGGACCTGTACACAGAAGCCTGTTTGTTTGTTTGTTTGTTTGTTTGTTTAAGTGTAACATAATGTTGAGGAGTGTACAGATCTTAAATGTACGGCTTGATGAATTTTCACAAAATGAATTCAACCACATAACCACCGCCCAGATCGGGAAATAAAACATCTCTTTATCTCCCCGAAAGATAACCACCGTCCCGGATTCCAACACGAGGGAACAGTTTCACTTGTTTTGGGACCATATGAATGACACCCTACAGCATACGCCCCTGTTGTCTGGCTTTCTTTGTGTTGCATGGAACATTGCATTAGTAAGATTTATCTGTGCTGTTGTATGTAGATTCGTTCATTCCCATTGCTGTATTTGTTGTATGATTTTTTTTATGATTATATATACCATGGGTCAGGCAAACTTTCTATAAGGGGCTAGATAGTAAATATTTTAGGAGTTGTGGACCAGTCCATCTCTGTTGAAATTATTCAACTTGCCTCAAAGCCAGCGCAGAGAACAGATAAATAAATGGGCATGGCTGTGTTCCAATAAAAGTTTATTTACAAAAAATAGGTATCAGGTTGGATTTTTGCAGTAGTTGCCAACTACTGCTATACTTAAAAAAAAAAAGAAGTAAATATTGGATCATATTTTATGATTAAATTTTCTGAGATGTTATAAATAGCCATTAAAGCTCATCAGTTCTCTGTAAATGAGGAATTCCAGGAAGTGAAATAATAGTTGGCACTTTTCCTTCTTTATTTAGTCTCTGGCGAACATAGACGAAGTTGTGAACAAGATAAGACTGAAAATTAGGTAAGTGACACTATATGATTATTAATAAGCATGTTGTTAATTTAGTTAATCACATTCTAGATCACACTTGTCTGTGAGAACACTGAAATGTCAGGTTTGCTGTAGGTGGTAATTTATTATTTTTTTAATTTTATTTTTTAAAATTTTTTTATTGATTATGCTGTTACAGTTGTTCTATTCCCCCCTTCATTCCCCTCTACCCTACCCCCTTCCCCACCATTACCCCCCTTTAGTTTATGACCATGTGTCTCAAGTTCTTTAGATTCTATATTTCCCATGCTATTCTTGCTCCCCCCATCTATTTTCTATCTACCATCTATGCTACTTATTTTCTGTACCTTCTCCCCCCTTCTCCTTCTCCCACTCCCCTGTTGCTAACCCTCCTTGAGATCTTCATTTCTATGTTTCCACTCCTGATCTAGCTGTCCTTTTAGTTTGCTTTCGTTTTAGGTGTGGTTGTTAATAACTGTGAGTTTGTTGTCCTTTCACTGTTCATGTTTCTTTAACTTCTTTTTCTTAGATAAGTCCCTTTAGCATTTCATATAATAAGGGCTTGGTGATGATGAACTCCTTGAATTTGATCTTATCTGAGAAGCACCTTATCTGCCCTTCCATTCTAAATGAAAACTTTGCTGGGTAGAGCAATCTTGGTTGTAGGTCTTTGGTTTTCATGACTTGGAATACGTCTTTCCAGCCCCTTCTTGCCTGTAAGGTCTCTTTTGAGAAATCAGCTGACAGTCTGATGGGAACTCCTTTGTTGGTGACTGTCTCCTTAGCTCTTGCTGCTTCTAGGATTCTCTCCTTAATTTTAATCTTGGCTAATGTAATGATGATGTGCCTTGGTGTGTTCCTTCTTGGGTCCAACTTCTTTGGGACTCTCTGAGCTTCCTGGATTTCCTGGAAGTCTATTTCCTTTGCCAGTTTGGGGAAATTTTCCTTTATTATTTGTTCAAATAAGTTTTCCGCTGGTGGCTGTGCCTTTCCCCCTTCTGGTACCCCTATAATTCGGATGTTGGAGCGTTTAAAGATGTCCTGGAGGTTCCTAAGACTCTCCTCATTTCTTTGAATTCTTGCTTCCTGACTCTTTTCTGTTTGGCCATTATTTGCTTTCTTCTGGTCCACTCCATTGATTTGAGTCCCAGTTTCCTTTTCATTGCTATTGGTGTCCTGTGCAATTCCATTCATTTCAATTAGTTTCGCCTTCATATATTTGTCTAATTTGTCGGTATAATCAACCAGTTCTGTGAGGATCCTGATGACCAGTGTTTTAAACTGTGCATCTGAGAGTTTTGCTATTTCTTCATCGCTTAGATCTATGGGCTCTGGGGCTTTGAGAACTTGCAACATTTTTGGTCTGTTCTGGCCCTTTAAGTGTGAGAAGCGGTGCCTTGGACTCCCAGGTCGCTGGGTTGTGACGCTGTATGTGGGGGCGTGGTCAGAGCGGGGAAATGGCGGCGCCCTCTACTGCCGCTGGCCACGGGGACCGCCGGGCCCTGGTCCAACCGCCCACTCCCTCGCCTGTCTGCTGGCGCGCAAATGGGCGACCACAGTCAACATGCAGCACCGCTTCCCCGCTCCTTCGCGGTCGCTCACTAGGTCCAACCCTGCGCCTGGATTCCGCGCATCTGGTTTCCGTGCCTGAGTCTGTCTGACCGAGTCCTCCTGTGCAACCCCTCACCAGCCGCTGGTTTCGCCCCTTACCGGTCAGGCTGAAGAATTTGTTGTTAACGGACTTCCGAAAAGTTCAATTTTCCGTGTTCTGGCTGTGTTTTCTGTTGCTAAATTTAGTTGTCTCTAAACTTGGTTGTGTGAGAAGGCACGGCACATCCACCTATGCCTCCATCTTGGCGGAAGTCCTCTGTAGGTGGTAATTTAAAAAATAATTCTTGCCCTGACCAGTGTGACACAGTTGGTTGGGCATCATCCCACAAAGGGAAAGGTCACTGGTTCAATTCCTGGTCCGGGTACATGCCCAGGTTGCAGACTCCATCCCTGGATGGGGCATGTACAAGAAGCAACCGATGCCAGTTTTTCTCTCTCCCATCAATATTTTTCTCCCTGTCTTTCTCCTTCCCTTCCCTCTCTCTAAAAATACAATAAATAAATAGAATTTCTAAAAGAGAAAAATAAATAAGTAAATGATCTTTTTCAAAAATGATTTTATTTATTTTATTTTTAGAGAAAAAGGAAGGAAAGGAGAGAGGGCCAGAAACATCAATGTGTGGTTGCCTCTTGCACGCCCTCTACTGGTGACCTGGCCTGCAACCCAGGCATGTGCCCTGACTGGGAATCAAACCAGTGACCCTTTGTTTCATAGGCTGGCACTCAGTCCACTGAGCTACACCAGCCACGAATAAATAATTCTTTTAAATCTGGGTTTTTATAGAAGCCTTGTAACAAAGAGCTCAATTCTTCAGTCAGTCCTCAATTATTTATAAAAAGGTAAGGAAGCTGTAACAGGCTGTTCAAAACAGTTGATTATAAAGGGAAGCAAAAGCATTTTTACTATAGCTTTAATGGCTTTATTTCCCTAGATTTACATTTTTAAAAATTCCAATGGCTTAGATGTGAATGAGGGCTTATATGTGTATACCTTGGCCACGTACTAGCTACCAATCAGATGAGATCTGCTGGTTGGCATGGGTGGTAGTGGCCCAGGATTAAATGTCCTGATTAACTAACCTAGGATGTGGTTGTCTGGGATGGTCATCAAATGACCTTGCTCCCCAATAGCCTTATTTTGGTTTGTTCACATCTGAATCTCCAGTTTTGACACATGGTAGATACTCAATGTTTGTTTATTCATTTTAATTATTACCATAATGGTTTATGGCATTAAAAATAGATTCTTTAAATCTTTTGATGAGGAGAAGACTTTATTAATCCAGGAGATAGTTTTTTTCCCTTTCAACCTTTGGGTTTTTTTGGTAAAAACCTCTTTCATTAATGTTTTGTTCAATTGGGTACCTTAGGAAATGCTGAGAAACCTGTTCTCATTGAAGTGGACCACGAAGTTGTCCAGGGTTTGCCCAGATAATGGAAATTCTCTGATGACCCAGAAATCACTTGTGAGCCAGTTATTTCCCACTTTCTGCCTCTATACCTTCAATGGACTCTTCACATGAAAATGGAGTTGACTAAAATAAATTTCCCGGAGGGAGGCACCATCATTAAATGGCCCTGTTGAGCCTCAGAACAAAGGAACTGGAGGCTGCAGATCTGTCTCCCACGCAGGTTGCACAACTGGCGCCCAGGAGGCAAAGCCCTGGTTTCATACATTCCCCTGGCTCCTCACCCCTTTTAGGGTTCCAGAGGAAGTTACTGAGGAAGGAATTTATGTGGGGTAATTTGAATTTTCTGGCTTCTTTCCATAAAGTTTCAGCAACTTTCTCATTTTTGGTTTACTCCAGGAAAAATCCTAAAAGTTATAGGGGTCCTTTTGGACAGTTCCCAATATTAAGTGAAAATAGCCCTTTTTAAAAAAAACAAAGACGATGCACGTGTCAGTCTATGCTGGGCTTGGCTTCTTACACTCCTGTTGCTGCTCCACCTGGGTCCAGGGCTCCCGTCTTCCTTATGCTGTTCAAGCTTGTTTGGTGTTCTGGATAAGTAGGTACAACCTGCAGAAGTTGCTGGATTAGTTACTAACTTTTTTCTTTTGGTCAGTGTAGTATAGAGATTACTTTAATGATTTGTATCCTTCAACTTTTTTGCTAGGAGACTGGATGACAATATTCGAACTGTCGTAAGAGGTCAAACAAATGTGGGGCAAGATGGCAGGCAAGTAAGTAACTTATTTTTCCCTGTTATGCTCCCCTAATTTCTTCAACCCCCAGTGACCAAGTGATGAAAGTGTTCAACTGCCTCCTTACAGAGCACTTTTTTTATCCTCATCTGAGGACAGCCTTATTGATTTTATAGAGAGGGAAAAGGAGGGAGAGAGACATCCATCAGCTGCCTCTCGTATGTGCCCCTGACTGGGAATTGAACCCACAACCTTTTGGTGTGCAGGATGACATCCAGCCTGCTGAGCCACACTGGCCAGGGCCAGAGCACATTCTTACTGATCCGCCCCGTACACAGCAGGAAATGTACATGACTCCTCCCACTAGTACCAGAGGTAGGCCGCCCAGACCAGGCATGAACTATCACTTAGAGTCCCCCAGCCAGCAGTGTATTAGCACAGCTCACCCAGGCCGGGGCATGCAAGCCAACATGAGAAACCCAAATTTCCTTCTCTTTAGCCTGAGTGTCAGATGCCTCTTTTTTCCTCCTCCATTTGGAGCACTGTGGCTAAATATGGTTGCTACCTTTATCTCTCAGCTAAGTTGTTGGTATTTTGGTTATTACTTTTGTTGCTGCAAAAGATAGCAGTGACCTGTGCATCAAAAGACAGTATCAACAGAAAGAGGCATCCTATAGAATGAGAGAAAATATATGCAAATCATATATCTGACAAGGGATTAATATCCAAAAATATATTGACAACTCCTAACAACAACAACAACAAAAAACAAATAATAACCCAGGATGGTGTGGCTCAGTGGATTGAGTGCTGCCTGTGAACCAAGAGGTTGCCAGTTTGGTTCCCAGTCAGGGCACATCCCTGGGTTGCGGGCCAGGTCCCCAGTTGGGGGCATGTGAGGGGCAACTGGTTGATATATCTCTCATATGTTGATGTTTCTCTCCTTCTATCTCCCTCCCTTCCCCTTTCTCTAAAAATAAATAAATTAAATCTTTAAAAAAATACTTAAACAAACAGCCCAATTAACTATGGGCAAAGACTTGAGACATTTCTCCAAAGAAGATGTAAGGATTAGTCAGTAAGTACATGAAAAGACGCTCAGCATTATTAATGATTAGGGAAAGGCAAAGCAGACCTACAGTGAGATACAACCTCTCATCTGGTGGGATGACTACTACCAAAAAAACATAAAACAAGTGTAGGTGAAGATGTGGAGAAATTGGAACCCATTTCACTGTAAAGTGGTAATGAGGTTCCTTGAAAAAATTAAAGAATAGAATTACCATATAACCCAGCAATTCCACTTCTGGGTATACACTGAAAAGAATTGAGCTCAGGGTCTTAAAGAGATAGTGGTATAGCCAAGGGTACAGCAGCATTATTCACAGCTGGCAAAACTTAGGAGAGGAGTATCCACGGACAAATAAGTGGATCAGCAAAGTATGGGGTATGTCTACAATGGGATACTGTGTAGCCGTAAAAAGGAAAGAAATTCTGACACGTGCTGTAATAGGGATGAACTTGAAGATGGTATGCTAAATGAAATAATCCAGTCACAAAAAATACTATATTGTTGCACTTGTATGAAGTACTTATGAAAATCATAAAGACAAAGTAGAAGGATAGTTTTAGGAATTGGGGGAGAAAGGGAAATTATTGTTTGATGGGTGCAGAGTTTCAGTTTTACAAGATGAAACGAATTGTGGGGATTGGGTGGTAGTGAGGGTTGAACAATGATGGGAATACATTTAATACAGTCGATTAAAAATGATTAAGATGATACATTTTATGTGCATTTTAGCAATAAACTTTAAAAATCAAGATGGAGATAACATTCATATATTGCAAAAAAAAAAGAGACAGTAATGTGACAGAGCTATAGTTCTTTATACCTGGTTTTGTTGGCAAACAGGTAACTGTAGGTTCATTTTAAAGTTTTTACATTTCCTTTGCATCTGGCTAAGGAGGGCTACTGGAAGGGAATGAAAGGGAAAAGTATTTGGGGAGGAGGTTTTCTTTAATGACTCAGGGGCCAGATATTATCTATTAACTGTTTTCCTTTTCTTTTGGATTTTATTTTCCTGTTTAGGCATCATAGTTCAGAAATAGCTACCTAACAGACATGCTGAGCAAGTCTTTTCTAGCCTTCCTCTCACGCAACGCCTGGTTCTCCCTTTTCAGTACCAATTCACTTAGGTCGGGTGTGCACCTTCATGAGAGCTTCAGTTCTGCTGTTTGTCCTGTTCAATATGTTTTTATTATGGATGATTTCTTTTTAAAAAAATTTTATTGAATGTATTTGGGTGACATCAGTTAATAAAATTATGTAGGTTTCAAGTGTACAATCCTATAATTCATCATCTGTAGATTGTGTTGTGTGTTCACCACCCAAAGTCAAGTCTTCTTCCATTGCCATGAATCTCCAGTTCACCTGTTCACCCAACCCCCCCGCCCCCGCATCCCTGCCCCCTCTGACAGCTGTCAGTCAGTACAGCTGATTTCTTAAGGTGTTAAATATGCTACCCAGATTTTTGGAAGGTGGGTGGGGAAATAATCCTATGTAGAAATTTCCTCATCTTATATTCTTAGCTCACAGGTGTTGAGTCTCTTTTATATTTCCAGTTTTATCCATTTGTTTATTTTTCCTACATTTTATGACTTTCTTTTCCTCTTAGTAATCATCTTCCATTGGTCTATTTGTAAGTTGTCTACTTTTGTCTTTGTTGTCACAATCAATATTTGCATACAGACATACTAGATTCCTAAAACTGGTCTTATTCTCCAGCCCTTGCCTAACTTTTAGTCCTGGTTGCTTTGTTTTATCCAATGAGGCTTTGCTTCTCTGGCAGGTGGGGCCCATGTAAATGGGGTTTTTAGAGGTAATAAAGAGTGAGAGGGAGCCCTCATCCTCATTCCGTTCTTTAACTTTCCCACCGTATGTCTGGTCATGCCACCCACCTCTTCAGAACCCTCACTGGCCTCTGTCTACTACTTTAAGCACAGGTTCCTTTGCTTGGCATTCAAGGCCTCAGTCTACCTTTCCAGTTCTGTCTCCTGGGCTTCATCTGTACTGAAGACTTAGTGCTCTGTGAGCATGCCCTGTGCTTGCTGGACCAATGATCGTGTTCTTCCTTTTGCCTAAAATGCTTCTCTTGTCTTTTTCTTCCTGTCTTTTTCTTCCTGTAGCTTCATTTCAAAATCTAACCCATCTAAGGCCCAGCTTAAATTACTTCTTTCATGAAATTTTCTGGTTAGCTAAGTTAGATAAACCAAAGGACTCAGAATTTTAGAACTAGAAGGGATTTGGGACTCATCTGGTGCACTCCTCTCATTTTACAGATGAGAAACTTGATCTGAGTATCCCTTAGTTCATTAGCTACATTCCTGTCTGCTGCAGAATCCCGTAGCCCATGCTTGTCCTTTGGCTTTCCTGGTCTCCTTTGACTTACGAGTGAACACATTTTGTGCCCTTGATTCGTTTGCAAGCTCCAAGAGGCAAGAACTGCTTCTTCCTCATCTTCACGTTTCTTAGAACATGTAGTCCATGTGTAATAACAGTTTATTCAGCTGTATGGAGTGTTTGGTCTGTGTGAGATTATTTGTTGATTGTAAGTAAACAAAAGCTGTTTACCATAAAAACATCATTTTGATCAGTGTGTATGTTCCTTTAAAGTTGTTTAAAACTTGACTTATATATAACTAGTCCCAACATATTACTATTTGAAATATTAATAACACTCCTGTTTACTGTGATTTAGCCTGTACTTAGAATGGCTCACTAGAAACCTTAATATATGTAAAAGAGTCTCAGGTATTTAAAATTGCAAGAATGTGAAAATAAAGTAAATGATTCATCAAAACTTTTTGTTGGGTCATGCTATATAGATACATATCTTTTAGTCGGTTATGTTTTAACCTGTGGTCACAAAGGAGCGGTGTGGGAGAGTCGGGCCCAGCGTTAGACAGCCTGCAGGAATGTCGGCCTTCCCCACCTCACATATTAATAGGTTACAGGTTGGTGCAGAGCAGGGCAGGTCATATTTCAGAGAGCTCTAAGACCAATTTTCAAGAATGTTTAGATAGCATTTCAATCTGTGATGGAATTTTGTATTCGTCTCCTTAGAATCCAGACAAAAAGGAAGCCCAGAAGAAATAATTGCTTTTCCTGTCATCCCCTCCATCTGTCTTTTCCAACAGTTTGTAATGCAAGCTGAAGTGGAGACTTTTTCCCCCCTAGGGAGCCTTGAGTCCTAGCCTGTCACCTCCTAAGGATGGAAGCCTGGCTGTCCAGCCCTGGCTGGCTGGTGGTTTGCTGAAGGGAGACTCTATTTGACTGGCACAGACTGGGGACAGTTATGGATGTTCCAAAATACTGAACTTTATAGGTCAAGAGGCCCCAGGTTTTTTTCTCTTTGCTGGGACAGGGGGAAATTTGCTTTCAGAATTTGTTTCTTGAGCTTCCGAGAATCACTCAGGCAGAGGAGCAGTAACATGGACAAAAGGAAGTTTTCCTTTTGTAAATTTCATCTTGATCGTGTTTAGCCAGAACAGATGTGCTTTGATCTGTGTAAATAAGGGGAAAGTATGCACCTCACATTTCTGGTGTCTTAAAAGACATTTTTAGCAGAAACACTCTTTTTGAAAAGCTGTATTTCTTACTCAAAAATTATTTGCAGGAAAGGAGTAATGTAGCAATCGAAGACACAATGAGGCCGTTTCTTTAGTTTCTTGATGTTTCTGAAGTACCAGCTGCCTGATTAGCCCTCTGCTACTCGCTCTGGAGAGCCTTTGATTGCTGGCCGCCTCATGCGTGGGTGGACTTGTACTGGTCTAGTCTGTGGCCTCTTCTAACCAGACTGCGAGGCTCGTACAAAATTATTACAGCACTGAATTCTCCCCATTTTTATCTGTTGAAATCATCAGGCAAAAGCTTTAATTAAATGCCCACATGTTTGAAACTTTGTGGGATAACTTGAGTCAGTTCAACAAAGTACTTGATCTGATATGCAGTGAAACTTCCACAGCTTCCCAAGGATTAA